TTTTTGCGGTGAACTAATTCATTGTGCAATAAGCTATTGAAATTGAGAAACTTACTTTGTAGCATTTCAACAACTTGTAAAGGCGGATTTCTCCGTACACTTCGTATAAAATTGTTCCAATCATGAGGTACTTCTATTTCAGAGGTGGTTTTCTTTTTGGCCGATTCAATAGCTGCATGAATTGTGTCAGCTTCCATATGCGAATGACCGGGTTCCATGAATTTGTGGTGTATTTCCTGCAGATTTCTGTTTTGTTGTTTTAGCTCGTTTAATACTAAACATATCATTGTGCACATATAAATGTTTCTGTTTTGGCCTGTACAAGAGTCGCTGTACAAATGAAGTGATTTAACTTTTTCGGGTAACGACAATATAAAGGACCTTATGCAGGACGCTATTTCTTGACCACCACGACCTGCTATTATCTCATCCCAAAGAAAGCATATTCCGGAATGTCCCGAAGTATTTGTTTGAAAAACTGTTAAATTGAACGTCCATAGTTGTCTTTTGTAAAATGATACGCCATTTCTAAAGTATGGCGTTGGCAAACATTTTTCGAGGTCAAATGAGGCCACAATAAAAGATTCATTTTTCTTACTTCTTTCTTTATCTAGCGATTTTTCTTTATAATCTGCCTCAGCCAAGTTTAAGTGTATTTCCTTTTCTTGTATCAGTTTCGTTTTAGTATCTTCCTCCTCTTTGGTCAGTTGTTTATCCTGCAGTGCCTTTAAACTCAAATTAAATTGATCGCATTTAGCGCAAGTGTCATTCGCAGGGGTATGAAAGGAAAAATTGAATTCCTCATTGAAAATTTTTCGATACAGTGATTCCTTTTCAGGCATAATATTGTTTTGAGCACAGTGTTTCACATAGAGTTGGTACATCAGAGTAATAGAAAGATCGGCACTGAGATACCTTTTTGATGTCCGTTCACGAGAATAATGACTAGTGTACGTTGGGAACATTTTGATATGCTGCCTGATATGATCTTTTCTTTCTTCGGCAATTTTGTAATGGTTTGAGTGCATTCCACGACCATCTGTTGGACAAATGTTCGACTCGGACCTCCTTTTTTTCTCTGTTATAACTCTTACCTTTTTCAGTGTTAAATCAAAAGTATTAAGGTAAATTTTTTGGCAAACTTCAACGCTTTGCCGGTCTTCATTTGAAAGATAATATATTCTTGTAAAGTTTCTTCGACTTTCTTTATGCACTTCTTCACTTTCCTTTCGTCTTTGGGCTCTTTCTCTTTGTTTTTCAGATTCTTTTATAGTTTCTGCAATATATTGATCTTGAGCATCTCATGATAAAAGGTAAAAATTTTCAAACAGTGATTTTCTTTGCGCTTGGCTTCTTTTGGTATTACATTTCATGCGGCAGTCGCAGGGTGTCTTCAATTCTTTTGCTTTCTTTAAAACTCCTTTTTTAGATGTATACTCTTTGCCTTTTTCCTTCAGTTTTTTCCGAACGTTTTCTTTCCAGGAACTTTCTCTCCTCACTCTTTTTCTGGTTCTTTCTTCTTCAGAAATTTTTTGTCTTCCCCTCTTACCTTTTTGGATTTCAACTGTGCGATGCTCCTTCTTGTTTTCAGTATTATTGCCTATATTACCATTCTGATTTTGAGTTTCTTTGGTCTAAAAAATAATGATTGTGAAATTATATTAAAAAGCTTATATTGGTTTTGAATAAATTTACATTAACAGTAGTTGTGATGCAATTAATTTTCCTGCTGTTATCCACCTCTGTGTATGGATCAAACGTAGATATTAAATTATTATCCTCGATTGATGTATTATCGAAGCTTGTTGAAGCAATCCCTACGTTAACTTCGTTTTCTAAAGTTATGATATACCTAATGTAAAAAATTTCCACGTGCAGGTATTAATATAATAAAACTTACCAGTTTCAGCAATTTGCTTACACTTTTCTAATATTTTAACCACTACTGTCTGTTTTTGTAAACATCAGATTACACGAGAATTTGAGGTTAGGTATTGCTTTAATAAGGACCAATCTCCTTAATAAGGGCCAATGTCCGCGGTGGTGGACATTGGCCAGTACATTAAGGGCCAACGTCCAACATTGGCCCTTTTTCTATCTAGGTGGTATGGATATTGGCCATTTTAAAAACAGATTATCTTGAGAATCCACCACTTTAGGACTTTGGCCTTTTTTCTATTAAAAGTAGGAACCCATAACATTATAATAATAATAATAATAACTTTATTCAGGCTTCATCAAGTACAAACTTAAAAAGAAAAAAATATTATACATATATATAGGTAAAGAAAATGATAAGTACATGCTAAAGTAAAATAAAATACATTAAAGCCTGAATTTAGGCGGAGTTCAGGTAACACCTGTTCTACCACTCAAACCCAAATCAAAAACAATAATAAACAAAAAAAAAATTCAATGACAACTGAGCACCGTCATAGGCTAATGTTGAACATGCACAATAGTTAGCCACACATACTATACTATAGAGTGTCCAAAAAATATCATACAAGAGTCTCATCCCCCGAGGCCACCAAGCACAAGCCCACAGTCACACACCCAAAACCCAGTCCCGCAAAGATTTCTTAAATCGGTTCAAGGGTAGACCCACTAAATGTTTAGGAAGATTATTATAAACAGATGTAATTTGATATGAGAAGCATCTCTTAAAAAATTCCAAACGATGGGAAGGAGGAGTTAACCTACCCCTGAACCGGATATTGACATTGTGTACGTCCGTTCTAAAGTTAATTCTGTCGAATAGATAAGGGGGGCTCCGCTCCGTAATAATCTTATAATAAAAACATGCTTTGTGAACATACCGACGCGACTTCATATTCATCCATTTAAGTTTCTTAAAAGCAAAAGAGACATGATCGTACTTTCTCAACCCAAAGATCAGCCGGACACAGGAATTCTGGAGCTTTTGAATTTTCTGTTGATGGCGGGAGTCAATAAATGAACCATAAATGTTATCACAATAATTAAAATGTGATAAGACGAGAGAGTCACACAAGAGTTTTTTAACAGAATTATCAAGGCAATGTCGATTACTGAAAATCAATCTCAGAGAGCCATATGCCCGCTTTAACAGCATATTAACATGTTCCCTAAAGTTTAGTGACTCATCAATAATCAGGCCAAGGTTCCTAACAGATCCACTCAGAGGAAGAGGCACATTTCCCAGCGAAATGTGGTAGAATCTGTCGATAAAGATTTTTTTCAATTTAGTAGGACCAAATAGGATCATTTGAGTTTTCCTTTCATTAATTCTTAGACAGTATTCCCGAGCCCCACTGACAATACTAAACAGATCACGCTTGAACTCATTAAGTCCTTCTTCAAAATGGCTTTCAGGGAAGGACAGGTAGATCTGAGTGTCATCAGCATAATAATGAATTTTACAAAAATCAACAAAACTATTAAAATTTATAGTATAAATCTTAAACAGGGTGGGCCCCAATACCGAGCCCTGCGGCACCCCAGACTCAATCTCCAAAGGTCCCGAGACGTTACCGTCAACACAAACAGATTGAATTCTACCTTTAAGGTAATTGGAGAAAAAATCCAGCGCAACAGGGTCGGCACCAATATGTTTAAGAATGGACAGTAATAAATTATGGTTAAGTGTATCGAATGCCTTCGAAAAGTCCAGCAATCCTAACAGGGTCAATTTATTGGAGTCAGTAGCTATGACAATGTCATCAACTATGTTATTCAGAGCAGACTCGCATTCATGTCCCTCCCTGAAGCCAGACTGGTCTATCAGCTGGCTGTTAACAATCTTTTCCAAGACCTTGGACAAGGAACACAATATACTTATGGGCCTCAAGGAAGAAAAATCAATGGGATTAGACACTTTAGGTACCGGAATGACAATCAACTTTTTCCACAGTGAAGGAAAAACACCCTCCAGTAGACAAGTATTAATTATGTTTAATATATGAGATAAAAGTACAGGACAAGCCAGTTTAATAAAATCGTCAACGTATTATCTCAAAAACGCCATATTTGGACTTTGGCCCTTTTTCTACCAAGGTACAGAATTAATGCAAGAGTTTTTTTTTATTTAAATCGTAAAATGTAGTGCCAACTTGACAGACGTTATCATAAATATGTCTAAGTTTGATGGTGAGCTAAGAAATCACCCTGTATATACAAAAATTGATCTAATTGAGAATGAAATCTTTTAATCCTCTTCATCTTGAGACCACCTGAGGTCAAATCTCCATTTCCTCAACTCCACCACATCCCGACTCCCGACCAGAAGAAGTACCAGAACTCTTTAATCCTTCCACAATACCCGGACTAACAATTTTCTCCGTCTCTTTCCCACTCTTCGTCGCCGTTTCTCAAGTTTCAACTCGAGACAGATTCCGTCTGCGATCCGTCTCAGTCCTTCGCGTCGCGGTGATCGTGCGGGTCACCCGGGGCGTCGGCGCGGTTCAAGGACGACGTTCGCAGCCCCGAACCACACCACATCATCATCGCACACACATAATCGGCCTCAGATAAGATAGCGCCACCGAAAAATCCGATCGCCGGCGTCATTGCCTCGCCGTGTATTCAACTCCGCACAGTTTTCTACTCGAGTTCCATACAATTTCTAGTCAGTTCCTTCGAGCCTCGCGTTCGCTCCACGTCCGCCGTCTCGTCGTAGTGTTATAAGATGCGCCCGAAATGCCGCGCAAGAACAGGTTCTTGCACGTGCTGCTCGGTATCTTACTCGGTACGTTCGTTTCCGTCGTCTTCGTGGCTCGCCATCGCGGCTCCTCCATGTGTTTACCGCCGGCGAAAACGGTCCGAAGAAAACATTTGGATCCCTTGGAACTAATCGGTGTTAATAATAATTCGTTAGAGGACAAACATCTTTTATTCGTCGGTGTGATGACCGCCGCTGGTTACTTGGATAACCGTGCGGAAACGGTTTATAATACCTGGGGGAAAGAAGTACCGGGAAAAATCGCGTTTTTTAGTTCCGAGGGTTCTTATAGCAACTCGATCCCTTTGGTCGCTTTAAAAGGGGTCGACGACAGTTACCCACCCCAGAAAAAGTCCTTCACCATGTTAAAGTACATGCACGACCACTACATAGACAGGTTCGAGTGGTTTATGAGAGCAGACGATGACGTCTATGTAAGAACGGATCGTTTGGAAGTACTTTTAAGAAGTGTCGACAGCAGGAAACCTTGGTTTATAGGGCAAACAGGTCGCGGAAACACCGAAGAATTTGGATTACTAGCTTTGGAAAGTGACGAAAACTTTTGTATGGGCGGACCGGGGGTAATTTTAAGTCGAGAAACTCTAAAAAGAATCGCTCCTTACTTGGAGGATTGCCTAAGAAATCTTTACACGACCCACGAAGACGTTGAATTAGGGAGGTGTGTGAAGAAACATGCAGGGATTAGCTGTACGTGGTCGTATGAGGCGAGTGATTATAAACAGGCAAGATGAGGTGTTATATTTTTGTGCACTCAACCACATTTTTATTTTTTTTATTTTGGGTTACAATTAAATTAATTTGCATTTTGGGTGTTGGAGATTAATTTAAAAAGGTATCATAACTAATGAGTCATTTTAATTCTTAAATTAAAATTATCACTAAATGAAATTATCACTAGTTAGAAGCACTAATGACATTCTAATTGATATTGAAATTGAAATTTCGTAGTTGTATAATATAATAATCGTTATTATGGAAAACCTTCGGGGAATTTTCTATTGTAATTTCTATATTTCGAGGAATTGTTTTCTTTTCACTCGGTTAAAAATAACTTGCAATTTTTCAGAAATAAATACTTATTTTCAACGCTGTACATAAATGTACCATATCAATTAACCCGCATTAACATCTACAGGCTAACGATTTCAATTTAATTCCGACCATTTAAATTTAAATCTCGAAATAAATTGGTAAAGAAGGATTGGAGAGACTGATGGTTTAGATTTAAAAATTATACTTAAATTGAGTTACAATAAATAAATGAAATAACCCATAAAACTGAATAAGAAAAAAATTTATTATTTCAAAATTGGTTTAAAATTAAAAACGGAAAGTGGCTTTAAAATCGTATATTGAGGGTAGTAAAGATATAAACTCTCCTGTAAGACTCACTAATTTATATTAATTATAAATGTTAATATAATATATAAGAAGCCGTTTATTCCTACTCCGCCGAGGTCGTTTGCGGGCGAGGCGCTAGAATCTTCCAAAACGGACGATTCCATGTTAATATATTAAATGCAGCGCCTCGCCCACAAGTGACCTCGGCTGAGGTGAAGTAGTTCTTTATGTATATTGGTAAGGATTTGAAAGTTTCTTATAAGAAGATATTTTTCTCACTCCGCCGAGGTCGCTTGCGGGCGAGGTGCTAGATTCTTCCAGAATGAACGATTTCTTGTTAATACCTATATCAAATCCAGCAACCTCGGCAATTTGAAGTGGAATCGTTTCTTATCTATCTTGGTAAGGATTCAAAGTCATATAAGAAGACTTTTATTCTCATTCCGCTGAGGTCGCTTGAGGGCAGGCTTGGGCATTTTTGCACTACCACTAAATTGCACTACCACTGTCTATTCAGTGGTAGTTAAAATGCAAAATCCATTATCACTGAAAATTTAGTCGATTTGAATTTATATTTTATGTCCGATATTAGTTATCAAACAACTTTGTTGATAAAAATGCTTCTTGGTGTATCGGCGGTGTAATTAAACGATGTCATTAAGCTAATCTAGCGAAATAAATCACGACTTCTTGGTGTCAATAACAGACTAATTTATTTGGTAATATAGTAATATGGTTCCTTATACTGCATCAGCTTATATGTATAGTCTTACTTGTTTTCTTCAAGAAGCAGTGTTATGTTACTGAAAAATGTTAATTATCACTAAAAGTTTTTACTATCACTAAAGGTTTAGTGATAATGTAATTGTTTTTTCACTATCACTAAATATTCAGTGATGGCGAAATTCGTGTTTTAACTACCACTGAAGAAGTAGTGGTAGTGAAACGCTTATTGCATTTATTTTTTAGTGCATTATGCCCAACCCTGCTTGCTGGCGATAATTTCATGTTAATATATCAAATGCAGCGCCTCGCCCGCAAATGACCTCGGCTATTTGAAACGGAATCGTTCCTTATCTATCTTGGTAAGGACGCAAAGTCTCATATAAGAAGACTTTTTACTCTCACTTCGTTGAGGTCTCTTGCGAGCGAGGCGCTGGATTCTTCCAAAACGAACGATTTCATTTTAATACCTATATCAAATCCACAACTATTTGTCTATCATCCACAACGAATTTCTCACTAGTAATTATATTAACTTAAGGTATTACTAAGCAATACCGTATAATGGTTTCCTCACACATAGCATAATTTGGTATAGAATTACCTTTTATTAGAAGTCTTCAAAAATGGGGTAATCGATCAAATCGTTGTATAACAGCGACCAGGTAGAAAAACAACTTTCCAAATATTTATTTCACAAAAAACACTATAAAACAGAAAATATTTATACGCAGCTATTTATATAGCTAATCCAATTACCAAAGAAAAATGTTAATCAATTATAACACTTTAAAGTTTTAATTTTTATATCATAATTAACTGCTACATTTTTTTAAAAACACATAAATATTACAAATACTGTTCAAAATTAAACGACGAATTAAAGAGTTTTTCAGCCGAATTAAAATGTCTGGTTAATTTCTTATTTCATTAGCAACCATTAAACAGAATACATTTAATAACTGTTCTCGTGTGTTAATTTCCACTTGATACACAATTTGTTTCATTTGACCCTAGGTATAAGTAAAAATCCAATGGATTAAAGTCGGGGGATTAAGCAAATGGACCATTATTACCAATCCACTTGTTTGGAAAATATTGGTTTAACTACTCTTCCGCGATGAGGTGGGGCACCATCGTGCTAATACCACATATTTTGAATTGCATTAAGAGGTATATCTTCAAGTAAATCAAAAAGTGTATTGTTCAAAAAAAATCTGTAATTTACAGCGTTCAAACATCCATCAAGTACATGCAAACCTAGTACATTGTTAAATATTCCACCCCAAATGTTGATGCTGAAACGTTGTTGAAATTTCCTTGGTCTAATCGATTTTGGACATGTTGCTGCAATAACCTATAATAATATTGTGTGCTGTTCTTCGAGTGCTGATGGAAGGATTATCTTCGTCCTCTATATTAACTACATGCGGTCGAATAGCATTTGCTGGAGCAGGATTACCTGTTTCTCGAAGTCTTCTGAAAGAATAGTTAAAAACTGAATAATATGGCAAATGACGCTGTGGAAATTTTTCTTGATATTCTCATACTGATTGTCGAGCATTTCCATTGCAAAAACCATACACGAAAATTATATCAGCATAAATATGCAAAAAACTTTAAAGTGTTATAATTTCGTAAATAATTGAAATATGTTCATTAACATTTTTTTTTGGTAATTGGATTAGCTATCATAGGTCAAAGTTTGATGGTAAACTAATAAATTACCCTGTATATTCAGACGCTTTTTTGTCAGTTACGCATTTGGCGTGTGCCCAAGAACCACATGAGGTGCATCTCCACCAGTTTTCTTCCTCAGACTTCTTTCTCCTTTTCCTCGCTTTATTCCTCGCATTCCTTTTTTTTGATCTATTAATTACATTTTGATCTACGGGGTTCAAAATATTTTTCTTCTCTCTATCATTTAGTTTTCTCTTTTTTCTTTCTTCTTTTCTCTCTAAATCTTCTTTCATTGGTGTAGATGTCAGTATTTTAGATTGTTGCTTTCTTCTATTTTCCTTTGAACTAAAGGTAGATGACTGGTTTTGTTCATTATTTGTAACAAACTTGATAGTTTTATCTTCGTTATCTTCATCCACTACTTCTTCTAGCTGGACGTCCGATGAATCGTAAGATGACATGGATATATTTTTCTGCTTGCGTTTTTTCATTCCACTAGAATCAGGTTCTGGATCTACATTTTCAATCACTTCTTGTTCATGTGTTTTCTCATAAAGAAAATTTATCATCACTGAATACGTGGCGATTATATGGAAAAAATTCCAGTAACTTTGAATGCATTTGCAGCTCTTTCAACAGTTCTTGTTCTATTAGAAGCATTTTTAAAAAGTTCAGTAACATCTGTTTCTTTAATTTTTTGATATTTTTTATTTTTAGTTTGACGTTTAATGTATCTCTGCATTTCGACAAAACTGATATGACACGAGGCTAGAATGTGTACTGTTGTTATCTAGTACCAATAAAACTGGATTTTCTTTACTTGCATTTACATATTTAGCAAAATGCTGTAGCACCTCATAAAATGATTCTTCTTTGATTCAACCAAAGGCAAAACATTTATAAAGTGCTCCTGAAGGGTCATTTTTATCGAATCCCTTTCATGCAAATTCTTTTAAATATGAAAAAATGAGTCATTTGAACACTTTCTCCACTTGTAAGTGCGCCTACTTGCTTTTGTCCTTTTTTGGCAATAATTTTTCCTGGTACATGAACATTAGATATTCTTTATATTTCTTAGTAAGGATGTAGTCGGATCTTCTGAATTTGGCTAACAGTGGAATGTTATCATAAAAAATCGTTTAAGATCACTATTGGAAATATCGAACAACCGGATTAATGCTATACAGTGTGTTCACAAAGGTTATTTCTTTAAAACTTTTTTACTATGTTTAAAGTCTATTTCATTTTAAAATTATTTTCACTCTTAAACATTTTTGATTAGACGTATCGTTTTCGAGATATTTGCAAAAAAAACAACCTCAATTTTGGAATGTTTTCATTAATCGTAGATACATATAGAAACAAATTGTAAGTAAAGACAACCTGATAGAAAAACATTTCTAAATATCGAAAGACGTTTACATGAGGCAGGAAATTGAAGACAGAAGTATGTAAATAACGGGAATCTGTGGTCAGTTCCTATACCCCAACTAGAAGAAAACATTTTGGATTTTGTGTCAGATCGTAGTACTGCTAGTACTGTTGATAGCAACAGTTTAGACATTTCAAAATATTCAAAGGTACGTTTTGGCATGTTCTACATGAACAACAATTGTATCCATCCATTTGTCGAGAGTACAAGAATATAAAATTGCTGATCATCCGTTGCAAATACAATGTTGCCATACTATGATGGAAAATGCACATACTATTGATGCTGCGTTTTTAGAAAACAGCACTTTTTACAGATAACCATTAGTTTGAGAAATGCTGAAAAATAATTGTACTAAAGAAAATCCAGATATACACATTGAGTAATAATTTGACAGATTTCTTTTAAACAAACTTAAATCTTTTTGTGAATAACTCGAAAACGATACATAATCCAAAATTTGTAAGTGTAAAATAATTACAAAATGAAATAGGCTTTCAGAATCAGTTGGAAAATTCATAAATCATTAATTTATGACATAATAAA